AGTTTATTTATTAGCACACAATTGTAGCTATAGTGCCTTTTGTCTTTGATACAGAGGCAAAAGTGATTTATACGCCGCTAATATTCTATTAGTGTTCTGAACATGACTGTATACTCATTCTTACAATGAATTTTTAATTTTTCTCATTATTATTTCATTAAAAATAAAATTTCATAACAAAGTAATGAGCATAATGATAGTTAATAAACTGTATATCATTATCTTTGAAGTAGAGTATAACATATTGATGAAAATTATCTTTTACAAAGTAAAAACAGACATATTAGCACAAAACTTTCTTTTCAAAGAACAAGAGAAACTAGTAGTATAAATAAAACAAATTAGTATGTATATTAAGATATTTCTGAAGCAGACTAGGTCATTTGGGGGCAATTTTAACTTCTCTCCATGTCCTGATTTTCTATCTTCTTTGAGCACCAGACATCCATATCCATCATCACTTGGATACCTACCGTCTGTCTCGAACTGTTATAACCTGTTGGTGTATAGTAGGTTTCTGTGGGGTAACGGGTCCCGAGAAGGAGGTGCCCCTGATGAAAAGAAAAACAAGAGAGACAAAGCTATAGGATCAGAGGGCTGCAGCCTCCAGGACTGAAGCCTCCATTACAATCTGCTTTAGCCTTTATTTTTTTTATTTTTTTTGCCTTAGTATTTTATTGGGATACAAATAAAAGCAGCAACAGGGCAAATGGGAGGAATCATTAACAGGACTGGGGAGGGCAATACCACTTAATTATCACAGGAATGAGACTTCTTAGTTAACTATCATCTTATCATTCCTTTGGGCATATCTCAGCAAAGCTTCTAGTGCTGTCCCAGGGTTTCCACAGGAACTAAGTTCCTGCTGTCATTTCCTTTACACTAATGCTTTAGCTAGACTTCCTCTAGAATCAAAGAGTCATATGGCTTGGTCAGGCTCAAAGTCTCACATAGGTAATATGCTGAAAGATAATCTATAGAATGTCCTTCTCCACAATACCTTGAAATACCTATCTCTCCTTGTTAAAGGAGAAACTCATCTCAATGAATGTAATATTCATCCTTCTGATACAGGAAAATAAAAATTCCCAACCTGAGTGATATCTGGGGACAAGTTTGTGTTCTCTACAATCGAAGAATGAATTTTAGGAACAACAGAGGTTAAGTTAAGGGTAGAATATATTTATTGAGGGACAGAAAAAAAGCTTCTATCCAAGACAGGAACAGAAGGGGAGCCTTTTCTAGGGACTTTTATAGAGCCATACCATGAGGTGAGGCAGGTCCAAGGTAGGGGGAAATGGACAAAACTATGGTCAGCCAATAAGAATTGCTCAGGTAAAACTGATTAAATTGGGATCAAATGGGGAAGTGAGTCACATAGCCAGAGGGCATGAATACAGAACAGGGGCTTTTCCTGTAAGGGGTTGGCTTCAGTGACTCTTCAAGGTGATCGCTACCTATTTAGAATATCAATCCCTGATGCTCATTCTTAGAGAGGTATATGGGTGCATTTGTTTAGTCCTTTGTCTTGAGGTCTGGCCCACAGAAAATATGTATCTTTCATGTTGGCTCCTTTGAGGGCCTGGCCCTGTCTGACTGCCTATAATATTTCTATCTAACTCAGCTGTCTGTAACACTTCCAACTGATCTAAAGGCTGTGAAATTATCCACATATTACAGGGTCACTTAAATCTCTCAGAAAGGCCTTCTGACTCAATCTTCAAAATATACTATAAAAATCTTACCGCTTCTCAGAGACACATTTATTACCTGATCCAAGCATTATTCTTGTTTATATTATTAGATCAGACTACTAGAAAGCATCAGTGCTGTGGTGTTTTAAAAAATTAATTGAAAAATAAATATAAATTCACCAAATATAACATTTTGTTTTGAAATATTTATTTCTTGTGGAATGGCTAAATGAAGCTACTTGACATGTGCATTACCTCATTTTATTGATTAATTTATTTTTAGGGTAAAAAATTTAAAATTTATCCAACTAACAATTTTCAGTATATAATACATTTGTATTAATTATAATCACCATGTTCTGCAGTAGATCTCTTAAACTTTCTCTTACCCAAGGAAAAGTTTGGATTGTTCCACAAACACCTTCCCAATACAGGTCTCAGATTCCCCTAGTAACCACCATTCTATTTTTTAACTTCAAGGTAAATCATCTTAAAGTCCATGTGTAAGTGAGATTGTGCCATATTTGCTTTTCTGTGCCTGGTTAAATCTGTCACCAGTGAACTGTCTAATAGGGAAGCCAAAGGCACCCCAACAAAATACATATTATGTCACTCCTCTGTCTAAGACCTTCCAAAGAATTCAGTCATGTTATACATAGTGGAATTAACATTGAAATGACCAGTATTTTTGAATCCCTTTTGACTGTTTTTACTTTTCTGATATTAACTTTAACATTTCTAACCTTTGCCCTCCTTGTTTGCCCCAGTCAGCCTGGTTTTGTTACTGTTTCTGTCAAATTCTAGGCACAAAGAAGTTGGTCTCATTTGAAACCTGTCTTACTGAAATTTCCCTCCTTTTGATTATTTGTGTTGCTTATTTATTCAACCCTTGCATTATTTTCTTTCATTATTTTCTGCTCAGTGAAGACATTTCTGAAGACTGTTCCTTGCTTTGCATTATGTTCCATAATATTATTATCATGTAACATATTATAAATGAATAAAATGTATATATCTTTCTTTTTTTTCTTTTCTCATTCACCCAA